CTGCAGCACCCCCTGAGCGGGCCACTTGGTGGGGCCCGTGCGCCCTGGCGGGGCGGGCGTCAACATCGGTGCATGGTGGGTTGAGGTCTAGGCAGGGGGTCTGATGTGGTCTTTCACCTCGCACGCAGTGCTCTCCGCATTGGTGACTGGTGAGAGCCTGGAGAGGTTTCGAAGAGGGCTGGCGGCTGCAACCAGCAACCCAGACCCTCCCACTGGATCTATGGACCAGCTGCTACCCACAGGAGGTGACCGTGCCCGGGAAGTCCCGGACCTGGAAGGGTCAGATCTGGACCTTTACAAAGGTGAGTGTGAGGATCCCCCAAGTGTAGTCCACGACAGGCAATTGAAGAATAAGCAGATTCACGCTCTTCGGCCCCGCTGTGGGCTCGGGGATATTCATGAAAAGCTGATGGACTGATAGGGGCTAGGAGATCTTGGAATATAGGTCTTGCTGTCTTTCTTGTTTTTGGGTCTCACCTGCCTGGTTGTTATCCTTGTGGATACTTCAGAACAGATTGAAACAGGGAGATTATTCTCTGAGGTATCCATATCCAATGTCTATTAAGTACAAAATAGAGTTAGTAGATGTGGAGATGCCCAGACAAAGCAACTGTGCAGTGTTAGTGTCCTCTATCCACCTGTCTCCAAGTAGAGAAACAGAATGAAGAAGGCTTAGTCCGTACAGGAGACAGGCAGGAAGCTATAAATGGTGAGCCCTGGGGCCCTAGGGGGCTCTATTGAAATGTGGGGTGTCTATGAGAGCTACTCAAAGCCTGGAGACTTTCTTGAATCCCTGAGAAGACTCAAGGGGGAAGGGCCATGTCTATTCCTCCAATCAGCATAAGTCCCTGTGGCTCAGCAGAGGCATAGGGCAGTCTCCCAGGGCCTGCTGGAGTCCCTTGCAGAGAATCACTTGCAGTGATTCTCCCGGGTTGAGCAGGGACTAAGTCCTGTGGCCCCGGAATGACTATATTTGGTTGGAAAGATACCCACCTGTTCTAGTCCCGCCTCCTGCTCTGCTTCCCTTCTCCCTCCTAATTGGGAGCTTTGCTAGGATGCTTTCTCAGCTTTGTATAGACTGAGTTTGCTCCAAAGCTGAGCCTGCCCTCCCACACTTCATCCTCTCACAGTGGTCTTTGGGGGTCACCAGTGGCCTAGATTTTCCTGGCTAGGGCTGGGCTGGTTGTGACTCACTCTCCACCCACATGGCTGCTCCTCATACCTCTGCAGACCTGACTCACTGCTCCCTGTCACAGGAACCTGGCTGTCACCCTGCCAATCTCTCCCTCCCCTTTCTGATTGGTTTGGGCCCCTGCCTTGCTTTTCCTGCAGCCCTGTTCACTGGGTTCCTCTGACCACCTGCCTCAGCTTCTGAACTTTGAAAGGGACTGGGACTGGACAAGGTACCACAGTCCTAATCTCAGTCCTACGTGATCTTGGGCAAGTCACTGGCTTTTCAGATCTCAAGGTTTTCATCTTGAAAGTGGAAGGGCATGATATTTGTTAAAGCCACTTCCAGCTTGATGGTTCTGGGTCTCCAGTCTAATGTATTATGCTCAGCCTTCTGTCAGACACAGGCTGTAGCTATGGATAGTGGGCACCTTTTTCTTACTGGGCTGAAGTGAGAAAGAGGCTGGCATCAGATCCCAGGACTAAAAGGCTATCATCAGTTCCAGGAGCATGTCTGGATAAGGTTGTTTTTCCCCTGAGCCTCTAGAACTGGGAAAAAAGAAGAAAGTCATCATAAGTCCACTTCCTTCTGGGTAATTCCTTACTTTTCCTCTCTATCCCTTGTATATATTGTACCCTTCATCCCAGAGAGCTATGGACAGGACATTTGGGAATAAATGTAAATGAGTCTTTGAGAAAGTGGATAAACTGTAAAGTGCATAAAACGGGAAATATTTTGCTTGAAGTTAGAAAAGCAAAGCCCTTTACCAGGGATAGCCAGCTCCTATTTTGGAGTTGAATTTGTGATTCCCTGATACTAATGGGAATCCCAGAGGAGGCCACCTGAAGACATCGACACTCTTATTTTAGGAGCCCCCCACTCTTAAAACATCCAAGTACCTTCTACAAAATCAATTTTTATCTGTGATACTCTCTTCCTGCAAGTGGGTCACTGGTGCAGCATTGGGAAATGAGGCTGATTGAAGGCCAAAATAGAATGAAGTAGGTGTGGAGGCATCAGAGGTGGGGGTGGGAGGTGGGTAGTAGGCAAAAGTGAGGTTGGTAGCCTTACCCAGCAAGCTCCAGTTACTCGGGAAGTAGCATTCTTTGGAATGAGTTTCTTAAACCTTCCTCGGGATCCACCTTAGCTTCAAAGTTCCCGCTTACAGTTCTGCCCAGTTTTCCTTTAGCCCTTGGAGGTGCTGAGCCAAGGTGCCTTCCCAGGATTCTGACCTAATTCAAGTAGAGTCCAAGGGTCCATAGTCCTTCCAAATACCATGGTGGATTGATTTTCCCCTGAGGGATCAAAAGCTTAACACTGTGTCTTTCTGTTGCAGTTGAGTTCTCCTCTAAGCCCCAAGCTCTGGCCACACCAAGCAAAGAGGAGCATGGGAAAAGAAAGAAGAAAGGCAAGGGGTTAGGGAAGAAGAGAGACCCGTGTCTTCGGAAATACAAGGACTTCTGCATTCATGGAGAATGCAAATATCTGAAGGAGCTCCGGACTCCATCATGCAAGTAAGTGTTCCTTTGCAGGGTGGAATCTCACCAGCACACTCTGTCAGCTACATGACTGTTCTTCAACCTCTGGGTGGAAGTTGGGAGGAAGGGAAGTATTTTTAGTCAACGGAAGGCCCCACCACCACCAAAGAGGATGCAATTTCCTGTGGTGTGGGTTTGTGACGTTCTTTAATCCTCGGGGACATTTCCTGCTTACCCAGAAATGTGGCTGGGAGAGCTGACTCCTGGAAGTTAGCCCTTCATTCCTGCCTCATGTCCTACTGTGGATGGGAAAAGCTCATAGGAAACATAGCAGAGCAGGTTCCTGGCTACAAGAAGGTATAAGGTAGCTGGGTGTGGTGGTGCATTCCTGTAATCCCAGCACTTGGGAGGTTGAGGAAGGAGGACTGTAGAGGCCAACCTGGACTATATGGTTCAGGACCAGCCTGAACTAAAAGCACAAGACCCTGTCTCAAAAAAAAAAAGAAGAAGAAGGTGTAAGGTGCATTTGGTCACATGTTGTATAGATATGTGTATTCTTGGATATATGTGCATAGGAGTGAGCAGATGTGGGTTGATTTTAAGGCAGGCCAGGACTGTATAGAAAGGAATCATCATGGGGCAAAATGAAAGCCTTCCTCTTTTCTGTCTCACCCGATGAGGGCTAAGAGGTGGGGGACATGGAGGGTATTGGCCTTTGGCCATGCAAGTGGGAGAACACGTCCTTTGTGCAGGATTAGGAGGAAATGGAAGACTTTATGTCAGCTTCCTAGGCAGATTTTCATGGGCTAAAATCAAAACAGGCATCACCCCCAGTCAGGCAGCATCACTCCTTCCCTGGGTGGAGGTGTGGGTGGAGGGGCTATGAGTTCCTTAGCCTCTCATAGGCCAAACCCAACAAGTGGCTGCCTTGGCAACCCCTCAGGATGACAGCACTGCCATGCTGTCTGGCAGGCATAATGTCACCACTGTGCCTGAGGCCAACATCCCACATCAGGCTGCAAACATCCAATCTTCTCTGTGGACAGGCAGGGCCTGGGGACCTTATGACCTGAAGACTGGAAAGTCCAGGACACTGTTATGTGCAAACTACTTACTATCCTGCCCAGAAGGCTGACTGCCTAGCATCTCTTCTCAATATTTAATTTTAAGACAGAGTCCCACCAAGTTGTGATTTTGGATTTTTGATACTCCTGCCTCAGCCTCCTGAGAAGCTGAGATTACAAGTGAGTGTGACCATATTTGGCTCCATTTGGATTTAAAAGCTTTCTTGTCCTGTCTGATCACACATAGCAGAGTTACATTGTATTTGGCAGTTGGTAGACAGACCCATCTCCCTATAATCTCCATAGTCAATCCGTCCTTTCCTATAACATCTTCATCAGGAGCTTGGTATTGGAAGTTGTTTAAGAGTGGCATTGAAGCTGTGCATGGTGGCAGGTACTCCTGGCTTCCCTGGGGAAGGAGGAGGTTGAGTACATTCCAAACATCCCAGGGTGGAGATGAGATCATGTGTCTTGCCCAGAGCCAGCGCCCATCAGATCAGGCCTAGGTGGGAGGGTCACTTGATCCTAAGAGTTTGAGACTAGTTTGGGCACCATAACGAGACTCTGTCTCCAAAAAAAGGGGGGCATGAAATGTCCCCATATCATCTCTCCCAGTGTCTTGGGACAGGGCAGGAAATGTTTGTCTTAAATTTGTAAAGTGGCATCACTAGCACAGGGTGGAGAGAATGACTCTGAGGGCAGTCAAGATAGACTGAGGCCAGGAACCTGTCTGGGCCAAATTGGATGTGGGGTTTCTGCTCCCTTGTAAGGCTGCTCACCTGATGAGTGGGGCTCAGCTGACCACTGAAGCTCAGAACCTGATTAAGTGTCCCCAGGGTCACCTTTACAGAGGTTCTAGGGATAGTGATAGTGATCATAATGAGGCCATCTCTCCTTTATCCCAGAGTTTCAATGTTTACTTATAGAGTTCCGGCAGGATTTTATAGAGGACAGCTGTTGTCCTGGAGGACATTTAGCCTAAGAGCATAGCAGTCTGACTTGAAGACATTGTGTCAGCTTCCTAAGCAGATTTTCATGGGCTGGACCAGGATTCTTTGTCTGATCCAACGGCCTCCTATCTCCAGCTCTTTGTATTCAGGGAAGAAAGCAACAAGAAGACACAGAGCTCCTGGTTTAGGGCAATGGAAGATCTGTATACCTACACCTGGGATGCTTTGTGGCTCCTCCTTGCTCCAGACCCAGGAACTGCCAAGCAGGGTGTGTCCAGGCTGCAGTGGTGAGCTTGCAGCTATTAGTCGGCTTCCTAAACCAGCCCTCTGCAGCCACCATGAACAGGAAAACCTTCTGCATCACCAGCCAAATGTTTCCCACAAAGAATAGTTTCCTGGGGCTCCTAACTGGCTGCTGACCATGTAATTGGCTGCAAAGTTTCCTGTGGTCGGAGGAAACCTGAGGGCCTTTGGACTGGGGAGAACTCAGTGCTGGGAGAGAGACAGGCTTGGGGCTCCATTTGGCCACACTGCCCAGATGCCAAGAAGGAATGGCGAGCCCCAGTCTTTTGGTTCTACCTTACTCGGGTACCTCATTCCTTGGGATTTGGGCAGTACCCTCTGCAATCAGATTGTATAATAATCTGTGTGTGTGTGTGTGTGTGTGTGTGTAAAACCTGGTCTTTACAGCATATTTTCATCCATAAATATCTTCTTTGATCTTTTCATGATATTCTTATGAGTTGGGTATTTATTATTTCTGTGTTTTATGTGAGGAACTGAAAGTGTAGAAAAGTAATGTGACTTGTTCAAGATCACCTGGCTAGAAATAGTAGCATAACCAGCCTGGAACTGATATATTCTAAGTCTCCTCCATCACATGGTGCTCTTCCATCTCCTCAGTAGAGACAGAGAAATCGTGTGTGGAAGATGTTTCTGGACCTTAGAGCATTCTTGCTTCTGTTGTAATACAAGTTCTGAAATGGGTCATAGACATAGAGAGGAGGAACGTGTCCTAGTTTGATGGGTGCTGGCTCTGGGCAAGACACACGATCTCATCCCCACCCTGGGATGCTTGGAATGTGCTCAACCCCCTCCTTCCCTTGGGAAGCTGGAAGTTAGCTGCAAAGGGAGGGGGAGGTAGGTAATATTAGGATGTTTACATTATTATCCTTTTGACTCAGGGTGGAGGTGGAGGGATTATGTAACTGAATTTCGGGACTCTGAGACCAAGCTTTATTTCTATCGTCTGAGTAACTACCTGTGAGGTTTGAATGGTGGGCTCAAAATGCAAAACAGATTCAACTTTGGCTCATGTCTCCCAGAAGAGTATAGTCTCTGAAATCATTTAGACTGCTGGGTTGAATCCTAGCCTATACCACTCACCAATTTTATAACTTCAGGCAAGTTATTTAACAGAAGTTAAACCTCAGCTACTTCATGGTTTTTTTTTGTTGTTTTGTTTTGTTTTTGTACTGGAGATCAAACTCACTACCTTGCTCTTCTGAGCAGGCAAGGTACCACTGAGCTAAATCCCCAGCCAGGTACTTCATCTTTAAATTGAGAATAGTTGGCTGGGCAAGGTGCCACTTGCCTGGAATCCCAGCATTTAGGAGGCTGAGGCAATAGGGATCACTGTGACTTTGAGGGCAGGCTAAAATCTTGTCAAAAAGCAAAAAAGTAAATAAAATAAAATAAAATAAAATAAAATAAAATGAGGAGAGTAACTTCTGCTTCACAGAGATGGCTTTGAGATTTATGAAATCATGAGGCCCGGTGTTCAACACCAGCACTAAAACAAAAAATAAATGAGATTAAATAAAGTTGTTCTTGTAAAGGAGTTAATTTGGAGAACTTGGCTTATATAATAAGCCTTTAATGCTTGCTATTTATTATTAAAGTTAAGAATAAATAATAATAATGATGATGATGATGATGATGATTGTGATGATGATATAGTCAGAGAGCAGGATCAGAAAGCTTCAGGAACTTATCAGATAATATGTGTTTCTTTTGTGATACCTGCACTGTTCAGAGCAGAAAGCCATGAATTTGGAACCTGCTAAAAGTTATTTCTGATCTTTGCCCTGCTGCTTCTTAGTTGTGCAGCTTGGCAAATCACTTAACTTCTCTGACCCCTAATCCCTGCACACAAGTGACTTCCCAGGGATGCTCCTAGAAGCTTCATCCACATCTTAGCAGATTGAGGATCATCTTTTTACCACCTATACTAATAAGACAGATGCATGGAGAGGCTGCACAAAGAACTGTACTGTCCCATGTGACAGTGGGCCTGACCTACATTTATTCTTCTGTGAAGTGGTCTCTTAGAGCACCAAGGAAGAGATGGGGCAAGGAGATATGAGGGCAAAAAAGCAGGGGCAAGGAGGCAGAGACCCCTCTGCCACTGCCAGATGTGGACAGGTCTACTTCAAAGTAGCATCCTTGGTGCCCTGCAAGCAGGAAGAAGGAATTCCTTGCTGTGAGGCAGCAGGCCCATGGTTTCTTTCCCAGAGAAGGTGCCACTCAGAAGAGAGGCCACGAGGTTCTTAGTGCTTCTTCCTCCAGAGGCTAGTGGTCTGTACCCCCAGGCTGATGGTGTCTAGCCACTGTGGCTGGTGGATAGGTTTGTTAATGTAAGTGGCAGCCCGATGAGCTCAGGGTCAGACAATTCATTTCCATACTTCTGACCTGTTGTGTGACCTTGGGAAGCCACTGAGCCTTTCTGTAGAGTGGGACTCCCACCTACCTCAAAGGATCTCTGGGGCCGGGCGTGGTGGCACATACCTGTAATCCCAGCACTCAGGAGGCTGAGGCAGGAGGATCACTGTGAGTTCAAGACCAGCCTGGGCTACATAGTAGTGAGTTCCAGGTCAATCTCAACTACATAGTGAGACCCTGTCTCAAAAAAGAAAGGATCTCTGGGATGTTCAGATAAAGGAAGGCATGTGAATATGCTCCTTCAGCCATGCTTGGAGTCTTTCTAAGAGCTTCAAGGAAGTGCTTTGTGTTAGAAGAGGCAGTTGCCACATGATTTGTTTCATGAGTGACAAGAGCCAAGAGATTGTTTCTGACATTCTTTTATGTTGGCAAGGCAGCTGGGCAGAAAGATGTTATCTTGATTTGTTTGCTTTGTCCTGTGATGAAGGAGGCCGGATAGCCAGCTTCCAGAGGCCAGAGGCTATACTTAAGCTACCAGGTTGGGCCTTGCACCAAGGGGGAGCTGAGAGTTAAATGAAAGACATTTGAGAAAAAGGACTCCTGGCAAAGGAACAGGGCCTATTAATAGGCTGGGCAGTGGTAGGGAGGGACTGGATGCTGGAGGAACTGATGGGCAAGGCTGGGTTTATTTCTGGGTCAGAATGTTGAGGGGCCTTACTAGAGGGAGTGATACCAAATCCCTTCAAGTCAGTCTACCAGCCCTTGTGCCCAAGTCCTCTTACGTGGCTCAAACAGAACACCTTAATACACATGTGATAAATCAGCCACACACGGTCTATGTCTATACTGAGACCTTCGAGTCTTCCTTTGCCTTTTCTCCCACCTGGGGCTGGACTCCGGAGTCAGAGAGCTAGAAGGAATGGTGAAAGGGAGGGTGCTGAGTGAGGGAAGGAAGCTACGGAGCATTCAAATCAAAGGAGGTGACAAATAGGGTTTGGTTTACGGAGGTGGGCCATTGCGGGGTAGGTGGGAGAGAGAGGGGAGGAGAAAGGGCAATGCACTAACCCTGCTTCTCTATTCTGTCTTGAACTAGCTGCCACCCAGGTTACCATGGGGAGAGGTGCCATGGGTTGAGTCTCCCAGTAGAGAATCGCTTGTATACGTATGACCACACTACTGTCCTGGCTGTAGTGGCTGTGGTGCTGTCGTCTGTCTGTCTGCTCGTCATCGTGGGACTCCTCATGTTTAGGTGAGTGTTGGGATCCCCTGCTGGCTGTTTCTGCAAACCACTCCCCTTCCTCTTTCTCCCGGGTATTCCAAACTGAGTTCCGAAGAGGTCAGATGAACCCCATTCTCATGCCCCTATGTCTGGGGCTTGTTCCTAGTTGTAGCTTTTCCACAAACCTAGTTTCTCTGCGTGACACAAGGCCAATATCTAAAGCCCAGGATTACACTTGCCAGGCCCTACCACAGTGATGGTGAACCTTTCAGAGGCTGAGTGCCCAAACTGCAACCCGAAACCCAAAGTGCTGACACTGTAATCAAACCTGAATACTAAGTTTTTAGTTTAGAAAAAACAACTCCTACATTGACATCTTTTGTTTTAAAAGAAAAACAAATAACAATTACCACTACCCTAGCAGATTCTGCCCCTGGTGTCTGTGGAGCTACCTCTTTATACATTTTTCTCTCTCCTGGCTCTGTTCTTTGATGGCATTAGTGTGTGGTTTGGCAATGAAGGCATGATGTTGCTATTGGTATATCATTTCAATTCTGAAGCATCTGGACCTCAGGCCAGACCTCCAGTCTAGGTATGTTCTGGGTTGGGAAGAACTATTAAGCACTTCATTGTCTGTTTTTAAGCAGTGCTACTCAATCCACTATGAAACCTGGAACAAGTTGCCTGTACTTCTGAGAATCATAATCTGTCAGTGATTGTACATTCTGTCCCCCTGCCTCATAAGGATGTTGTGACAATCAAATCAATGATATGAAAGCTCTCTATGAAATGTAGCATGCTGCTGGGCATAGTGGCATACACCTAAAATCCCAGCACTTGAGAGGCTGAGGCAGGAGGATCACTAAGAGTTCAAGGCCAGCCTGGACTACATATCGAGACCCTTTCTCAAAAGAACAAAGCAAAACAAAAACAAACAAATATGGCCTGCTGTTAGAGACAGGCATCTCTTGGGGCAACTGGACTTTGATCAAAGAAGTCTGTCTGGCTGTCATTCCCTATGGATACAAGGCAGAGTTCTTTGGGTTTTTTGTTGTTTTGGTTTTTTTTGGTACTGAGGATTGAGCTCTGGACCTTGCGTATGTGAGGCAGGTGGCGGAACCACTGAGCCAAATCCCTGGCCCGGCGGAGTTCTTTGGAATAATCTACTCCAGGACCTATACTTTATCTTAGCAGGCAGGTCTTGCTCACAAAACTTCTCTTCCTCAGGTACCATAGGAGAGGAGGTTATGATGTGGAAAATGAAGAGAAAGTGAAGTTGGGCATGACTAATTCCCACTGAGAAAGACCTTTGCTCAAGGTAATGGTTCATCCTTTGTCCCCAGAATACAACAAGGGGCCAATGCATAGGTGAATTTTGGTTCTCTTTCAATGAATGCTAAATTCCGCTCTTACCTCTGGGCTGAGGGTCAGTGTCCAGTTGCAGAATTATTTTAAAAAACCTGCTGGAAAATCAGTTAAGGTGAAAGTTGTTAGAGAGCTACCTGAGAGGACAGCTTCTCCTGTTGTTAGCCCTTCGTTCTCCCTCCTTTCCTAGATGATCTTTCCACTTCTTAAGATTGGACTCAGAGGCACCTAAGACCTCTTTTAACTGGGCCCAGCTTTAAATGCTTTTCTCTTATGCTTTAGGAATCATCAGGGGATGGCTACCTCTGAGAAGGCACAAATTGCTTGCACTCTACTGAAGGAAAGGACTTCTCAACTAGCCATGAAGACTTCTTCATCTCCAGTTGCTATCTTGATTGGGCTTCTCTTAATTACTTTGCCAAAATACCAGAACCTTCAAGTGCCATATGGAATATGTCCAGTGGGATCTGGATTTGAAGAAAGTGAAAGTGGGGGATCTTTAGAACCTTCTGATTTTCCTCCACCAAACCTACTCTTTGTTGGTTTAAAAAATTTAAACACTTGTCTTCTGGATTAAAATATCATTTAAATTCCACATGCTCCAGTATCTCTGACTAAAAATACACAAGAGAGACAAAAAAGAAGAAGGAAAGATTTGTGGACTGGAAGAAAGCAGCAAAGATTGAGAGGCCATGTACTCTAAGAGCCGCCAAGGGATTTGTTACTTGGACCCTCCAGCGATGGCTTTGATGAGCAAACTGTGAAATACTGCAAGCCAGAGAACTCTGAATTTTGGGACTTCTACCCAGATGAAAAAAATAACAACTATTTTTTGTTGTTGTTTGTTTGTTTGTAAAATGCCTTTTAAATTATATATTTATTTTATTCTATGTATGTTAATTTATTTAGTTTTTAACAATCTAACAATAATATTTCAAGTGCCTAGACTGTTACTTTGGCAATATCCTGGCCCTCCTCACATCCCCACCATCTGGCTCAATGCCACACTTCCCTGTGGCCAATATGAGACGGCTCTGACCCATCTGTAGTAATTTATTGTCTGTTCACGTTTCTGAAGACCTCCCAGGATCAGAGTGTCCCGGGGGAGTTCTGATGGTTGGGATGTAAGAGTGGTCAGAGCCGCTCTATGAGTTGGACTGCAGTTTTGCCTAGGCAATTTTGTCTACCATTTGTGTTTTGAAAGCCAAAGGTGCTGATGTCACAGTGTAACAGATATCAGTGTTTCCCTGTGTCTTCTCCCTGCCAAATCTCAGAGGTTGGGCATCCATGCCTGCAGCTTTTCTGACACCCCCTCTCCCCTGCCCACCCACAGAGTGGGAACCCATTATCCCTTGTGTCAAGACATTTCTCACACTCCTGCCATTCTTCTGGTGCTACTCCATGAGAGGTCAGTGCAGCAGAGGACAGTCTGGAGAATGTGTTAGCAAAGAAAAATGCTGAGGAGGAACTGAAAATTGGAGTTAACTGTTCTTGATAATTGATTACCTCCCAATTACTACAGAGAAGGTTAGAGGTGGCAAAAGCTTGTGAGTAACACCACCCCATCACCACAACTACAAAGGAATGCTGTCATGGTCCCTTATGGAAGTTTTTGGTGCCATTTCTGAACTGTTACATCTTGTATTTCCAAACCTGGTTCATATTTATACTTTGCAACCCAAATAAAGATAACCCTTTCTCCATAGTCTGCTTGTTTTAACTGGGAGCTGGTTTACTATAAGTCTTTCCTAAGCCCTGTCTTGATGTCAGCCTATGTATCAGGTATGCTATCTCAGTGTTCCCAATAATTCTGTGATGAAGGTACTATATTTTTCAGAAGAGAAAATTGAGTTTTGAATAGATTATATAAGGTGTCTGAGGATACACAGTAACTCCAGTAATTTTTTTCTTAATACTTAACACCATACTATCTCTAAGATAAAGAATAAACCTTTGACATAGGAAGTTTGGCTGATTGTAACCATCAAAGATGTGTACTCATTCATTCGACAGGCCCTGGACTCAGTCTAGTCCTATGCTGTATACCTGTGAGCAGACATTGTTCCTCTTGTGCTCCTTTAGTCAGCCCATCAGCAAATCTTGTCAGTTGTACCTTTAGAACACATGCAATGCACTCCTTTTCCCTACTACTAGTGTCACCTAGTCCAGCGCAACATCCCTCATACCTGAACTCCTATGATGGCCTCCTATCTTCCTAGTTGCACCTTGTTTCCATAGTCTTTTTTCAACACAATAACCAGTGACCATTTAAAACATATTTCATATTATAAATAGCTCAATGATAGACTTACATGTATATAAAGGTCCTGGGTTTGATCTCTAGCATCACACACACAAAAATATAATTCAGTTCTTATCTGCTTAACAAGCCTTCCTCACCACAACAGCACAGTCCTCCCTCAGCCCACTCTTATTCTCCTTATAGTGCCTATAGTGCTTTACATTTCCCCGTAGCTCTAATCATCAGTAACATATTCCTATTTATTTTTTGTCCATCTGCTCCTGTTAGAATGTTAGCTACATGAGGATAGGTGTGTTCATTGCTCTATTCCCAGATTTTTTTTTTAATTTTTAGAGACAGGTTTTGCAATATAGTTCAGATTGCCCTTGAACTATGTATCCCAGGCTGGCCTTAGACTTGCGGCAATCCTACCTCAGTCTCCCAAGTGCTGAGATTACATGCATGTGTCACCACACCCAGCTCTAATTCCAGACTCTTAAATAATATAATTGAGTTGGGCATTCGATATTTGTCAAATGAATATAAGAAACAATTCAAATCCAACCCAGGTGTGGTGGTGCATACCCATAATCCCAGCACTTGGGAGGCCAAGGCAGGAAGGTTGCTGAGAGTTTGAGACCAACCTGAGCTACATAGTAGTGAGTTCAAGGCCAGTCTGAACTACATAGTGAGAGCCTGTTTAAAAAAAAATTAAAATCCTGTCCAGGTGGGCAAGTAGGCAAATGAAATTAGTTGGGATTATAGAGGGGCTTTTGTTGGGGAGAGTGGACTAGGTAACAGGATGAACGTGGAAATTGGGGCTTATAATATGGCCTGGGTGTCGGTGTACAGTAGAGAGAGCCATTTGGGAGGCCATTGAGCAAGTGCCTCTGGACTGCCTCCTCATCCTTAACCTCTTCTCTCAGAGAGGTATACCATTCTGAAGCTTCTCTAGGGGTCCAACAGACATCTTGTGTATCTTTTAAATATCCTTTTAAAACTTTGGGCCGGGCGTGGTGGCGCACGCCTGTAATCCCAGCACTTGGGAGGCTGAGGCAGGAGGATCAGTGCAAGTTCGAGACCAGCCTGGGCTACATAGTGAGTTCCAGATCAGTCTCAACTACATAATGAGACCCTGTCTCAAAACACCAAAAAACAAAAACAAAAAATCTTTGGGTGTCAGTAGCTACCAAAACTGAGCATATAAGTACACTATAACCCAACAATTCTACTCCTAGCCATACACACCAGAGAAATACCTTTTTTACCATGTAGGAGTGACCTTGGCATTACTTAAAAGAACTAAAACCTGGAAACTATCCAAGTAACCCCCATACTTGATTATGAAATGAATAAACTTTGGTATATATCAAGACAATGAAGTACTAAATAGTAATAATATGGATGAAATCTCAAAACATCACTGAGTGAAAGAAGCAAGACAAAAATGAGTCCCTCCTGTGTGAGTCCATTTATATAAAATTTAAAGGCATGCTGGTGATTTAGCTCAGTGGTGCTGTAGGCACATAATCCTTGCAAGTGAAAAGTCCTGAGTTTGATCCCTGTTCCCCAACCCCCAAATTTAAAGACAGGTAAAATTAATCTGTGGCGAAAGAAATCAGCAAGGAGATCCCTGTTGGGATTGGTGATGACCGGAAGTAGGCAGAGGCAGGACTTCTGGAATACTTGTAATTTTGCCATGCTGTGGCTGCCGCTTACACAGGAGGATTCACCTTGAGAAAATTCACCAGGTATGATTTGTGCATTTTTTGTATTATACAAGATTTTGAAAAACTTGGATAGAGACTCTTTACTATTGCATTTTTTTTTTTTTTTTTTTTT